GCGGTTGACGGAAAGGGAACTTGAAGTACTATACCTGGTAGCTGCACTATAGCTACCCTAGGTCTCTCTACCTCGCAAGGTGCCAACTACACCTTTCCATTTCCATTCAGATGATGCAAATGATGCATTTGGCATTCCTTGCATCACCACCCCTCAAAAATCACCTCCAACACAACCTCAAAAAACCTTCCCTCGGAGCACCCTCCTCCCCCAGCATGTGCTGAGTTGACGTGTCCCTTTCTCGGGCCACCCCCCCCAGACCCCCTAACTACTCACTTCGTTCGCCAGACACAACTCCGCTAGCGCCTTCTACGAAGGCTGGCTTTCGTAACATTGCTCAAGGATGTTCAAGGCATATATTATAAGTTGGGAAATGTAGGGGGTCAAACCTTCTTAGGGTAGGCTGTTGGCTGTTGGATTTGCTTTTCCCATTTCAGTCCAAAACCTCTCATGGCAGCTCGTTGCTGTACAGCCCCCCAGTTCGCCGGTTGGAGACGAATTCGCAGATTCGCTGTGCAGTCTCCAAATTCTCAGCCTCGCGAGGGGTCCGGGTCGAAATGTCCTCGCATGTCCTACAATCCATGGCCATGGTCATTCCTCCGTGCTTCATGGTCCATGGTCCATCCCTGGTCATGTTCACAGTTGAACTGGCTTTCACATTGCAAAATTGACAAATGTTCAAAAATACGACTGGCCAACGATGTGGGCCTATGTGGGCCCCTCCTTTCCCAGACTGTAGACCTAGTGACACATCCATTTTCGGTCTGTCAACTCCGCAACTCAAGACATAAACAATTAAATTAGAAGGATCGAGAGGCTGTTTGTGCAGGCGAGTCACCGGTTGTTTGTTCCGGTACACCGATTCTTGAACAGTCCCGCTACACCCAGTCCCGGCCTCTCAACGTGGAGCGCAAGTACTCAAGAGCGGGACCAGCATGGCACGAGGGTCCTAAGCACGAGGGTTCTCGGCTGTGGCACCCATCAGTGAAAAAAAAGGATCCCAGATGTCACTTAGCTGCGTGAAGAAGAAAACACACCAGCGTTGCTAATGTTCTGCATTTTTCATATTTTTCCACATGTCAACAAGGCTGGAAGAACTTGAATGTAAGTGGACCCTCGTACGGTAGCATATCACACCTTATGGACTGAACATGATTGTAAAAAACAATGATCAAATGATGTCAACAATTGTGGACAAACCTTGCATGGCCCTGCAGTTACGCAGCTCACTTTTCCTCTATCTATCGTATCTATGCATCGAATCACCCAATCTTTTTCAGTGCAACCGCAGAAGAAAACAACAACAGCAACAGCACCAGCACCAGAGCACCACCGTGAGCAGAAGCAGCAGGCGCAACAGTAACAGCAACAACAACACAGCAGCAGCAGCAACAACAGTAGGTGGAACAATAGCAACAGCAGCAACAACAACAACAGCAACATGTGGATGACCTGCCTCTCAGGTTTTGGCATCACAATGTGTCCAATCCTAAGAGGGAAAACATGTCGGTCAGAAGGTCGACCTTCCCGTTGTTCCTTCTCGGAGAAGCGCCAATTCCCGGCGATGAACAGGGACGCTGTTGAACCAAGGTTCTGGCGAAGAGTGACGAAAGCAACAAACCAGAGGGCACCAGAGCAGACATGCCAAGAGAAAGAGATCCTCTCTTTAAAGGCCGATCTTCAAGCCAAGAGCAACTATCTTAAGATGTCTCCAACCCGGGCCCCGTCCAATACATCGGCAAGCGGGTGCATAGGTTTCAAGGACACGCCATGGACGGCTGTCACCGCAGTGCGCAACATCAGACCATTCCACCAACATGCGCAACATCTGTCAGCTGAATGTGTCCGCTTTGCACAACACAGACGTAAAACTGCAAGACCGGCAAAGACCAGCCAAAGCTGCCCGCACGGCATGATGATCAATGCTGCACAACACGGTGTCACGCACAAAATGACGGCGTGTCGGCATGACATCATGTCATCCCTGGCGTGACACGACGGCATTCAGGGCATGACGTGCCCGGGCATGACACGACGCCATCCCCGGCATCCTAGCACAACATGATGTCATTCTGGGCATGACATGATGTCATCCGACATGATGTCATACCTGGCACGACATGATGTCATCCCTGGCATGACATCGCGCCATCCCTGGCATGACATGATGCCACCTGGCATGACACGATGCCATCCCTGGCGTGACCTGATGTCATCCCTGGCATGACATGATGTCATCCCTGCGCATGACATGTGTCATTCTGGGCATGACATGATGTCATCCCTGCCATGACATGATGTCACCCCTGGCATGACGCAAAACGAAACGCCGATCCAAAGCCAGCGTGTGCACCAGCACCAGACCAGTACCGGCCAAACAAAACGCCAATCCAGCACCAGCATCAGCACCAGCACGGCAGCAGCACCCGCAAAACGAAACTCCAGAGCCAGCACCTGCACCAGCATCAGCCGCAGCAGCACCGGCAAAACCAAAAAGCCGATCCGGAGCCAGCACCTGCACCTACACCTGCACCTGCATCAGCACGGCAGCAGCACCTGCAAAACCAAAACGCCGATCCAGAGCCAGCACCTGCACCTGCACCAGCATCAGCACGGCAGCAGCACCCGCAAAACCAAAACGCCTATAGCCTGCAGCTATCTGGGGAACAAACGCAAACACCATCTGCGGATCTGCCCAGCATGGACTGACACGGGTAGGACTCGATGGTTCCGCAGGATTGAGTGGATGGTTTGAATTCGGGCGAATGGACCTGGATCCAAATCCAGGTGTTTCCTTTGTGGCCCTTGAAAGGCGATGAATTTTTGTGACAGTTCACTCTTGGTCACGTATTCCCTTCCATCAAAACACGACTCACAGCAACAATGTATGTTTCAAAAGAGGGGTCGATTTGGTACCATATAATATACATCCATATATATATGTATGTATAGTTATTTATATCATATACATTCATATACCATCATATACGTAGTTGTGCACGACTTGGGTTTGTTCGACCCCGTCTTCTCCCTTTTCTCCCCACTCGTAACCCACCAAGCGAAAGGCCCATCGCCAATCGATTCACATTATTCACAGCCGTTGCCCACCGCTCTGGGAGTCTAGAGCCAAGGCGCTGGGGTCCTGCGGATGATGGGCTTGGAGGGTCTCACCTTCGCCGGGGTACCCAGTTGCCTCAGAGCGGTACCCAGTGGTTCGAGAACCTGCGGGCAGTTTCGACCTGTTTCTACCGGAATCCAAAGGGATGGAATCGGCTACACCCTGTATACAGATCAGAGCTGACTTTTGCTTGAGATGGTCTTTACATTGGGCGCGGTTGCTCTGAATCAAGCAAACCTATAGCTATATAGTCGAGTTGCTCGGCCATGACTTCAACCCTTGCATCCAAGCTGCAAAATTGCTTGACACAATGGGTCCAAGCGAGCTTCCTGCGTGAACATACACACATGGAGGAAGGCGCAAAAACACGGGTTGGTTTCCAAACATCTAGCTTGCTTGCAATATTAAGTATGTTTGTTGAAATGTGTTTGACTGTTTGACTTGAGATGACGTGGGCGTTGGTCCCAAAAGGTGAAATACACCTTGCCAAGATGTGTCTGCTTTAGTCCAAAATCATCCCACATCCATCTCCTCTGTCAGATCCCCCGCGCGACACGATCGCGTGGGACCGGGCAGGCCTGCGGCAGTGGAATTTTCACTGGAACGCCCTCCATGGATCGACCCCTGGCCGTGCGGCCGTGAGGCGGACACGAAGGACACGAAGAAGCTGTCTGTGGTTCCTCAACCACCAACGATTGGGTCTTCTAGCCCGACATAAGCCTGACAAGAGGACCTTTTGGTGCCTTCCACCGGCCACCCGGACGTTCGGCCCAAAACCACGGCAGCCCGGGCAGCCCGGTTGGGTCGAACGCCGTCACGAAACGGTCATGTGTGTCACGTGGAATTGGTCCAGACAAAGCACCCAAGACGGTCACATCGGTCTCGTGGCTTACATGTTCATGCCAGGAGTGTTTGAAGTTACTAGTAGCTTCTTGTTCCTAGTAGTAATGCCAGGAGCTACTAGTAGCTTCTTCCTAGTAGCGATGCCCTCGTTACTAGTAGCTTCTACCCTAGAGTCTCTGGGGTTGCAGTCCCATGGAGTTTGTTGGGTTTGCCATCCCATGGAAGTGTTTGCCACCTGCCCCATGCCCGATCTGCCAGCCTGGCACGCTCGGGAGCTGCCGGGCGATCGGGTTGCGGGAGACCTGGTGCGACATTGACATGGCTGGAAGCTGCGCCAGGTCTGGTGGGTTGATCTGCTCAACTGTGTTGGCCACTTCAAATTATTCACCTTCAAGAGAAAGTACAACCTGGTTCTGTGTACTTGGGGCATTTAGCTGGTAGTTCTTCTTGTAACTTATAAGGTACGGTATAACGCCTTTACATCTATATAATATATAACTGCATATTGGCTACATTAGCCTACATGCGTTTAAGCCTGTCTGCTACGTTGAAGATGTGGCAAGTGTAAACAGGTCAGCTTAAAAGTATGCTATCCTCTCATATATATATATATATCATATATCCTCTAACACCCTAGCGTGGCGGCCCCGTGGCGGCCCCGTGGCCGACATCCAAGTGTCGAACACTGGGTTTGGCAGTGGATCCATACCCAAACACTCCATGGGACCAGCACATTTACGTATGTAGGGCTGGTTGAAGTCGGGGTCCAAGCACATCCCGTCCTCCCGGCATCCCCTCAAATCTGTCTGGGAGAATTGATCCATAGGCATCCATAAAGGAAACAACATAAGAAACAAAACCTTTGACCTCGGATGGTCTCCAGATTTGGACCGCCCAGTCGAATCCGCGTGGGGCTTCAAAAACATCGCACCGTTTAGTCGGTCATGCCCAGCATGCGTTTGGAAGTGGTTTTGGACCGGCTGATGCTGGTCGAACGGGTTGCTTTGAACTGGTTTTCCATCTGGTACTGCGTGGTCATTCAACTAATTTGCCTATAGGCCTCCTGAATGTGGGTCTTGAGCGATCCCGGCATGAAGCTGGGGAACAGAGGCACGAGTGCGACATCGTCTCGACCTGACCCATACAGCCAGAACGGTGAGAAATGCATTGATCCTCTCTGGACGGCCATGGAAATCGATGTCCATGGCAAACTGAGACAGAACAGAATCCCTAGGGCTCCAAGTACCTTGTAAGAAGGTGTTTGGGGTGGGTTTAGAGGGTCCAAATACCTTCTGACGAGGTACTTGGAGCCCTAGGGAATGGTGTGGCATGTTGGAAACTAAGCACCGCGCAACCTGCGATCACTTGCGTCCTCGGATCCACTCGTTACTATATACATGCAGAAGCTCCAGGACTCGCCTGACCAATCCGTTCTTTCCGACATCTGGATGGATGCACTTCCCTGAACTCATCATGGAAGTGGACAATGGCCCCTTGGATGACCATGGTCCGGATACTCAACCAGTGGTTTTCCACTTCGATACGATGATTCCAAACAGTGTACGTCTTCTGGCCAAGCGATGTCTTCCCATGTCTTCCCAAAGAAAAGCAAAGGATTGACTTTGTGAGCCCCATGGATACGAGTTCCTAGACAAAAAAGCCAACAGACCTTACAGGATTGAATGATGCATGGCAGTCATGGCATCCGGGCACCCTGGTGGACCACTGAAAATGAACCGATTCCTCTAAGGATGTCAATCTCCCATGGTTTGATGGTGGAGGTCCAGAAGTGAGGGACGGATGGCCATGGATGGCCCTTCACATCCACGCAACACGGCGGTCCGACGCCTGGAGGTGCGCCAATGCTCTTCGCGGTCGAGGTCATTAATGGTTCTCCTGCGTTGCCACACGGCTTTCTCCGCTGAGACAGCGAAACTCGGAGAAACCAAGTTTCTTGCCCAAATGCTCATCAAACTAAGGGTCTTAGCCCGCTAGCTACTAAGGGTCTTATGTAAGCCGTTCATGAAATGCATTGAGTTCTGACATCTTCCGGATGACGGCAAACACAGGTGCATGGAAAAACACGTGAGTTTCATGTCAAAACGCACGTTTTTTCGTTTCATCTTGGTCATTGATCAGTCATCATTGGCATCGGCTACTAAAACACACACACACAAACACACACCCCAGGCGCACGCACCAAGAACGACCATCCTGAACAACTCCAACACACATCTCCTTCTATATCCTTCTATACAAACCTTCTTTTATATGGAATCGTATCTGTGGACAGCAGGTTTGTAGCATCCCTTTTTTATACAAACCTTCTTTTATACAGTCCCCGGGATCTCGTCCTTTCTCGTCCGGGATCTCTCCTGGGCACCAGGACGGTGGTTCTCCACAGGTCTTCTCGGCCAACTGCACGCTGGGCCGTTCGGCCGGTGGGGGTGGCGGCTGCCTGGGCCGCTTGCTTCGGCGCGCACATCGCTCGGCCACGGCGCATGCCTGGGTGTCGCTCACCCCTTCGCTGTCGTTACCACAGCGTTTTGCCAATCTTCTGTCGCAACGGTTTTGCCCAGTTTTGCCAAGTGAACTTATCCAGTCACAGGTCTGCGGGTCTCTTTGGGACCTTGGGGATCACTTTTGTTTACTGTTTGTTTGAAGGCAACAGCACTATATATTTTGTTGGGCCTTGTATTTGGCAGAACCCAAGCACTTTCGCAAATTCACCCTCCGAAACACAGGCACTTTCGCACATTCACCCTTCCAAACAAACCGTTCGCCCCACACCATGGCAACTTAAGGCAGCCTAGCAGGCGGTCACATTATTGCTCCGAAGGATTCCTTTGCTTTACACTGTATCATCCCCCCCACAAGTAATTTTTGGATACTGAACGGACTACCTCCACATCTCTACAACTCGACACCCTTTGATCCAATTCTCAGCATGCAAAGCGCCAAGTCTACCCACATCGCCCGCTCCTCCGACTGAAAGACATGGCTGTGACGGCAATCTCCACCTGCGACTGGGTCTGATGGTCTGAAGGGCTGGGGGGTTCGCCTGCCTCCTTCTCACCTTGGTGGAACTGTGGTGGGCGACAGCATTCAGCTACCTTGACATCCTTTCTTGGGCCCTGATATATACCTGGGCAAGCCTCTACCCGTTGATCAAAGTTTCTCTGCCCCGGCGTCCAATTCACAACAATTGACGATCAGTAAGTATAGTTAGGGACCTTGACCATTCCCACAAAAAACAGTCAGAACAATGTAAGTGCTTTTTTACCAACCATGGCCGTGCATAAGTCTGTCAAACATGGTCAAAACTATCTCGCCCTTTCAGCGCCCGTGGCCCATGGCTCCAATCTATATATAGATTTAAACAAACATATACATGACGAAGCACCACTTGGAAATGCTTCAAACTGACGGACATGTTCGACACATACCGTTGTAACTGAGAGATTCACTGCTTCAGTTGGGCGTCAAAACCCTTCCGTCACGGTGCGCCTGGTCAGAGCCTGCTCCGTGGGAGCGCACGGAGAAGGGGGGAGGGGATTCCAGGTGTCCAACAACTTGAATCAATAAAACAACAACTTCTCAAATATATCATCAATACAGCAACACATGTTTCTAGAGGCGATACCCAGTTTGGAGGTCACCTTAATGACATGGTGAGTGGCACAAAACTTCTCCGTGAGTCCTGGGCGACTCACGAACGAAGGGGCCACCGTTCAGGAGCCCTGAACATCCACGGGCCACGCGAACGGACTACTCAGCTCCCACATGACACTGCTGGTGAATGTTGTTTTTGTTGGATCACCTGCTGAGTTCAGCACTCTGAAATCCGCTGGCCCCGGTCTGAGACACCGTGAGCGGTGCATGTCGGCTTGCCCAAAATCTGCCAAACACATGACACTTGAACCACCAAGAATTTTGTTCCCAGAAATCGTTGCCCAGGAAATGGCCTGGGGTTCGACTCGCCCCTGGCCCATGTGGCGCGCACGCGGCGCGCGATCCCGCGTGCAAGCGCGTGCGCCTAGAAAAAATGGAACCTGGTTGTAGGGGGCGCCCGGGACCTATGTGGCTTGCGCATTTATCTTCAGACCCTTTGCTGTGACATGCGTCTGGGCTGCAATAATTGGCCAATCCGCTGGTTGCTGGGTAGCGACTGACCACAGGATTTAGGAGACCACTAAAGTGGTGAGCGCGGATGGGTAGTGGGCCTTAGCCGGGACAGGACAGTGATGCAGAGCTTGCCCACTGCCGCCGACCCGAATCCAACTGCATCACCAATCCTCCACCAGAAAGAACCAACACGCATTCACATTTTTCGGCCTCTGGTCATTGCATAATCAAACGGGGGCGACAACAACCCTTATGGATCCGTATGGTATCGCCGGTTTTGCGAAGCTCTACAATAAAAAATACCAAATGGCCAGATGGGAGCGTCCCAGGCGGTAAACTACTTTTTGTGGTAACCAAGTTCCTGTGCCCAGTGCATGCCTTGTTTATGCCCGCACGGCTGCTTAGTCTGCTTTCTGACTACACTACCTATAACTGCCTATAACATTCATATGAATTCATATGAATTAGTTTTGAGTGTGTCTGGTTAGTACTTAACATCGATTTTAATTTGTTAATTGAGTGTGTTTGGTTCGTAGCTCTGATAGCTCTGGTTCTTAGCTTGATTCTGGCTGTTGATGTGGCCCAACCTATTTTTGTTGATCTTATAGTGCTGTTTGCCATATGAAAAGATTCTGAGATACTACTGTACATAGTCAAAAGGTCAAAATAACATGAAGTGAATTTGGTGTCTGGATCAATTCGTGCGTTGCATTGATGGCATACTGAGTATTTGCTTTGTGTCGAGGGTCGAATATGCTTGAATGTGCGTATGGTTATATATCTGTCTCTTCACGGAATTCCCTGGTTGGGAATTGACTGGCAGGCCATTCATTCTTGACCATACCAACTTGGTAGCCCGTTAAGTCGGACGCCATGTGCGAGCTTACTCAATGCTTGTAGAACGCAATCGAAGGGTTGATCAGCAGCTCCTTTACGGTGTGTGTGATTTGGGATAAGGACCAACCAGTAATTGTTGCAGAAACGGTGGAACGGTGGCATCAAGTTTCCGAAGGTTCATGGCACCCTTATTGGCAGTTGAATGCACATTTTGGCTCCATGTGCCGGCGTGTATCTACCAGTTCCACCCAATCCCTCTCTTCAGTCCCACTCAAACCATCTCAAACCAGCTCCATCTCGACGCGCGCGCAGGTGCCTTGAGATGTTCGCCTGGCAGCTTTACGAGTCCGGAGAGTCCATCGGACCGGTGGAACCGGTGGAACCTCCCGTGCTACCGGACGCGCAGTTCATAAGGTTTTTCATGAGGAAACCAAGGGGACCTAGGTCTATGCTTGATTCGTAGCTGGTGAGGAGTAATTATAGGCCTGTTACCTATATTGTAATTATTATATATGCATAAAATGATCCACTACTCATAAGACCTTTCAAAAACTCCATAGAAACACGCAACACAAATAACTATAGATCCAGGTTTTCTTGGTGCAGGCAAACTCCGCCATTAACAGCAGATGTTGACCTGGTCAAAGGCTCGGACTCCAGTCAAACCCCAAAATTACTCCCCCAGTCATAGCCCACACCAGCTCTTCAAAACCCTAAACCCCAAAACTATACTCTCTGAATCCTCAACATGGAAATGGAATGAAATGGACAACCACCTGCATGTAGCTTATTTCGCACGTTCATGATGATTTCAGGGAGTGTAGTTTGTGACACTTTCAACTTCACGCTTGCCCGGCCCAGGTCTTTGAACTATAGCCTTCGTATAATGTCGGCCCATGACTACTCCACTGCAAGCGGTTCTGCAAGCGGCAGAACTCGGTGACTTGCAGATATTGTAAATCTTCCAACTGACCCCCTGGTTCTGCGCAGCCAAGGGTTCTGAGCCAGGGCGCGAGATGTGGGGTTTTGACATTGGTGGATGAACAATCATAACACGCGCTTTAAGTTGGGCCTGATATTGTTTCCTTGAAACCATTCTAAAAGTGTTACCGAGTGTTACCCCTTCATCGAGAGTGACTGTCAAGAGCAGCCAGTGAAAGAGCTCCACTCATTGGGCTCTATTGATTCGAGGGTGCAGTCGCTAGAGCAAGACAAATAGATTACAGTACGAGTACAAGGTATATAGCAGAAAACATCTGCGGAAACATGAGGCCAACAGTTCGGCTAACAAAACACATCCGCAACGGCAATGTAATGCACACAAATATAAAATCAAACGGTCTTCCACAAATGGATGCAAATGGACTTGTGAATTTGTGATTTCTAACAACGTTAACCTTTGTGTCCATGAGCCCCGGCCTCAGTAGTAGAAAAAACATGGTCGTCCAAACCCTTCAAAGGTTCAGGCAGGGCTGTTTAAAAACGTGTACCGTACCCTTTATCCATCAAACTTGGAAGTGGAAAAACTCAGTACTCACTGACTCACACTCCTCGGGGGCTCACTCCAACTCTCTGCTCATGAAAATAGACATAATGGTTATGGAGAACGTCATGTCATCTCAATCAGTCAGCGATCAAGCGATACCTTTATTCAAATGCACACCCACAGGGTTGTTTTCCAGAAAACATCCAAGGACATCATTTCACTGGGTCAAGGACCTCATGCAAGCACCGAACTTCATGAGGTCAGTCAGACCAGGTTTTACGACCGGTCCTTCACCAACGAACCCACCCCGCGCGAACGCCGCGTCCGCGAGCGACGCGGACGCGAGCCGTGGCCTGGGACGCTCTGAGCCTGGCGGATCGGTCTGGCAAAACGATGCACAACGGGCCCCAACGGCCTCCGAGTAGGAAACTATCCTAATTATCCCAACGGGCTCCAACCATATCCTCAGTTTTGGTGGTTAGACCCCCCTGGCACCCACCCTAACCATCTTCTCAGGAGGTAGTTGGAGCCCTAGGGTATACTTGCCACTGGTTTGAGATTGGGGTGTGCATACTGAAATACTCCGACCGCTCCGACCCCCTAGCATATACTACGACATGGTCCCGAAGGAGGGAAAAGGCCTCCATTTTCCAGTGTCCCAAATGAGAAGCCGACCCACTCCAATGATTCAACCACAAAACGGCCCTGAGAAGACCGAACAGTAGAGACCCCTGCCGGAGCAGTAGACCCCTGGATGTCAAACTCAAACCATTCAAACAACTCCAGGTTCCTGAACTACCGGTGCTTCGGATGTAGTTGAAGCCGAAGCCCTATCTGGAACACCAGCGTATTTCTCGCCTGTCTCTGAGCCGCTGCTTGGCTCAGTGGTATCCTCCTGGATCCGACCAAACCACGTCGTGGATGTGTCCAAAACGGGCAAATTAGGGAAAGCACGTGGCTTGGTGGCAAAATGTGGTTGGTGTGTGCGATGATGCATGTCTGAGTTATGGCGTAAAAGCCTTCAGACAATATAGACAAGAGAAAAGAGACGAGAAAGAACCCAGTAAAACCAAATAGAGTAACTATAGATAGAGATAAAGTTTGACTCAAGCGAATCTATTCGCAAAGTTAGAGTTCAAAGGTTGATAATGGGTTTGACTGTGAGGTCTATTCGGCATGTCTTTCCAGCATGCACTCTGCTCATGTCAATGGAGATGTTCTGAGGGGTGAAAAACTGACTGTAGTTCTGGTCTCTTGGTCTCTTGGTGAACCACTGGCATCGTAACACAATTACTGCAGTTTTCATATCGTCCCACAAAGGGATCAAAAGTTAAACACACGCACGATGGAAGGAGCTATAAAGAGCTGCTTGAAGATAATGTCTGTCGCTACGGGCCTCAAAACCCTAATGATGGCCCCACGCATGTAGAAAAAGTAAAGGTTTGGAACATTTTGGAAACAAACTTGTTTACATCACAATCATTCAGCAGGCACTGGAAGGTGATCAGCCTTCCCTTCTCATCCACAACCGTAACTTCGTTGCACGCGGTAGGCTGTGGATCCCTTGTGCCCCTGCTGCTGAAGGATGTGTTTATTCGAGTTACTGTAAACGGAAAACAACTGCAGTACGCCAACCAGGTTGCACCAAAAAAGCCTGTAGAAACGATCCAAAGGAAGAAGAGACAAGGACAAGGGCAAAAACATTGCGTCAGGCCCTTTGTCACACACACACACACAAACACACCTATGCGCACATCGGAATTCACTGAGTTTGTCTGGTAGCCCATTCCACCAAAGGAACACTGGCAAACCACGGTAAGTTTCCCGGTGCAGTACAAGTGAAACAAGCAACAAAAACAGCACGTTGAAGGTCATCGGGTCCAAGGATTCAGGATGTTTGTTGAGGTTTTCCCCTGTCCGTATCTGTCATTGAAACATCCAGACTGAACTTTTCCCAGTCCGCGACATTGGGTTTTGGGGTGCTCCATGGTGCTCCATTGATCAAGACTTGAGCGGCCACAAATTGGGCCACAAAGCTCGGTGCTCCTCGTAGCTGCGCTCCTTAGGAAGCCTCAGGTTGATGAGGTCTGTAGCTGTGGCAAAAGTATAAGTTATATCAAGTCGGAAACAAACGTAACTAACTATAGGTGGATATAGGTGGTATAGTGGTGGAGTTCTAGTGGTAGTAGTGTCACCGGTGTTGAGAATTCCTATGGGAGGTGCTCTTCCAGAGCTACAGGCGCTGCACGTGGGTCAGGGCCCCGACAGCAGCCAAATTCTCTGCCAGAACCCGGTCGACCACGTAGAAGAAAGCGACGTGAAAAGTTTTATATAATTAGCGTACTGTAATATTAGTATGTTTAGGCACGTCACTACGTATATCGATGATCTATCAGGACCATATACAGTATATAAAGGCTCACTGGTTGAAAGTATGAAAACCTGCAGCTCTGCGCGCCCAAACTCCACCTCTTCTATTGGCAACAACTCAGTGAGATCGAACAAGTTGTTGATCGATGGAAAACCATCCACAATGCCAGGGTCTTCGGAGTCTTTTTGGGATCAGGTAGAAGAAGCACTCAATTAAAGAGGTTCAGCGACCCACGAAGCTTCAGCCTGGGACAATCTAAGACTCTCAAAGTGGATGAATAGAACATCCCTTGTCAGGGCCACCAACCTGGGCCACCTGGTCTTCTTCGAATGAAGAATCAAACAGTTACTGATAAATAGGAGGAACAAGTCGTGACTTCCTCAGAATGAGTGCGAAAACCATGAACCACCATGGCTACTTGGTTTTACACGGTTTTACCCGTTTTTTTGGAACCAAACAGTGAGTGAATACTAAGCGACCAAAAGACACCGATCTTGGAGGCTCGGAGAGGCCTCTGTTGGTTGTCGGAATTGCACAATCACATTGTAGCCATATGTATATTAATTTATATATATGATTAGTGACCCTTCAAGGTGGCCGAGGAAAAACATTATGTTTTTCAGTCGACGTTGGGCAGTTGAGTTGTCTCACATGGATGGTCTGGAAGACGATATTCCCTCACAAATCAACCATACATCTGCAGGGTCCTTGGCGATCCAAAAGCTCCAACTGAAGTTACCAGCTCCAGCACTTCAAGACTCCACCACTCAACGCGGTTGTGTTGGGCGCCCAACTTGCGATCTCGAACCAGCTGCATCATCGCGGAGCGGATGGAGCACAGCGCAGTCGGTCGAAAGACTACTGATTTGTCAGAAACCTTTCCAGCTAGAGCCCCAAAGTCATCGGGCGAAGCCTCTGAACACCTCTCAGTGTTGAGATTGGAAGGAATCAGTTTGGAGAAGTCCATCGAAATGAATGACTTGGAAAACCGAAGTGAACTTTCTGCATGCACATTGCCTTGTGCTTGTTAGGGTGACTGGGTGACTAACAAGAGTCATGAAATGCCATCAACAAACAAGAACAATTGGCATCTGGAAACCGTTGGTCGTTCAGGACCCTCAATGGTGTAAGTGTTTGTAATATGTGAGGGCCTGGATTCCATTTGAAGCTATATGCATCTAGCCCAAGACCACATGTTGGTCATTTTGACTTACGATGTTTGCAGTGGGAAGGCATGCAGTACTCTTATTGCACTCTGAAGGGCCTTTCTGGGAACAGGTTCCCTGAAAGCAAGGTTGGCCAACGGCCGCTGTCCATATGGGTCAGCTACACCTGGCAAGTGCCAATCCTATGGTCAACCATGGTCAGTGCCTGGCAAGTGCCTGGTCGACCATGCTATACCAACCACCTCCAGTCCAGGTCTTGAAGCGGTGGTTTCTATGGACATGAGATAAGCCACAGGTGAACCCTTGAAGGCTGCCTTCTTTTTCCGTGGATCAACGATCTCTTGTTTAAGCACCAAAAGTGGTGGGCTTGGCTTAGTGGTAGATCCAACCAACCAAATCTGCTGGTATGTGAATAACCCAATTCGGATTTCAAACCATCCAAAATTGCCAGGATTTGCCAGGTGCGCAAACAAAACCCATGGCTGAGCCATCGGGCAGAAATCACGGGGTTGTAGCCCTGCTGCGCCAACCTGGAAGTGACCAAACCGCTGGTTGAAGCCAAGGCCAACTCAACAGGGACTCCAGGTCGAACGACAGTGGTTTCAGCTCACTAGACAACCGGTCAGTGGGTTCAAGCATCCCAAGCAAAGGTTGAATAGAACAATATATCAAACCACCGCAAGGAAATCTGTGAGACTCCTCGCGTAAGGAACCAAAAAACTCACCTCTCCAGAGCAGGAAACCTGCAAGATCAAAGCTGTTGAGTCCTTCCAAGAAATGCCAAATAGCCTCCTCTGTCATCTTTCGAGATAAACGTGCAAGCTTCGGACGGTTCGAGTCCGAGATGGGGCACTCAGCATAGCAGAGTGGCCCCAAACTATCATCTTTCGAGATAAAAGTGCATGGTTCCGACCAAAGGGCACCAGTCGCTTGGAGATAGAATTTACGGTATTGACTTGATCTGGCTTTTCCAGCCGACCCAAAGATCCAGTTTCAAGCCAAAAGCGTCCGAGGCCCTGGGCATCAAAAGTCCTTTTCTATAGGCAAACATAGCCCAAATCCGGTGACATTCTGTGACATGCTCCAACCCCCCGAGTGGTTTCTGGGCAGACTTGATTCTGAGAGAACCATACTGGGCCGTACTGAGCAGATGCACCACTCCAGCCGCCAATCCGCTGCCAATCCGAGCAGCTGCACTGGCAGCTCTGCTCCATCGCCCAAGACCAGCATGCCGTTCGCGGTGGGTGCAGGGAGTGTGGCCTCCGTCAGGGCCGATCTGGATGGAGTTTGTTGAGATGAAGAAGGACACCAACCATGGGGAAAAAAACGATCCAGAGGTATGCGCCAACTTGATCCAACTTGTCTTAGCACTGTTTTTGCAATTTCTCTCACTTGCTTATGAATCCTCATGGTGCATTTGGCTGGGTTTTGATGAGAATCCAACAGTAACATCTTCCAGGAATAACAAAAGGGCCTGGACTTCTGGACAGCTGTTTCCTTGCGTCCAGTAGGCCCCAATGACATCTTCTCACACCAAACTTTCTAGGTCTAAGTTTTAGTATGTTTTAGTCTTAGGATGCGCTGGCTAGGTCCACAGGGAACTGCAATTTGGGTGTCGCATGACCTGGATATACCTTGATCATGTAGATGAAACATGTCACGGGGATGAACCGGTCTGTACACTACTCTCCCGACACTCTGTGGATTGGCCCCTTGGAAGACCATTTTCCTCTACAAACATGGGGGGGTTCCATCTGATTCCAGTTGTATCATTCTTAATCTCACCCAGCTCGCACCCAGCACGTGGCCCTAGCAGCCCCAGGCACGTGTTCAAAAGCGTCTCTTTCCGGACTTGAAAGGGTTGACTGACCTGTATATATAGACACAATGGCTTGACTCGCTTGACTTGCACAGGTAAAGGTCCGTTCGTGCAACGTTTCCAAGCAATTGCCCAGTGGAACCCTGGCGGAACATTTTGCCCGTCATCGGATTCGATGCAGAAAGGCAACATCGTCCAGCAACCACACAACATCACACAACCCACCAAGTCTGTACTTACCAACACCTGTGATATTTCACCCACGTCACTCAAGAAACCGATAGTCAGCAGGATTGGGAGGTGTTCCCACCTGACGACGGTGGTCCATGCCCAAGCGACGGCGGCTGGTCGCCACGTGCAGGCCACATCTGGATGCGTGTGGCCACGTGCAGGCCACATGTCCGCAGGACTTCCCTCTACCAACAGGTGGTTTTCTGCTGGCATGTGATGTGTTCCTCAGAGGGTCTTATACAAACAGATGTTTCCATATTCCTTCGTCTCTTCCCTCAAAAGAAAGGAGCACTTGGAGACAGTACTAGACAGTGTATTCTTCTGGGGTGCATCCCTGATATGAGTTATTGGGGACAGTAGGATGTGCCTGCAGCCGGTTAATGAACATTTCTAAAAGTTGGTCCATCGAATTAAGCCCAAAGGACATCTATGGACACATCCATCGACAGCAAGGACAAGGGCACAATCAAATACATAGTGACTTGATACGTATGACTTGATGCTATTCGAGAACCCGCCTAGCCTACATCCTTTTGGACATGGCCACTCAAAAGGAATGGATCAGGCGATGCTTTCACAAACGAACCAAGCAATGGCGGTCAGACTGCTGAAGCCACACAGACGGGTGAATCAGTGTGAAGAACACAGCCGCTGAGCTTCCATATGGTGGCCTTTCCATTTCACTCGTGGTTTCTGTGAAACAAACTCATAAGAGGGAACCGGCCACAAAATCGATGGTTCATTGAAATGCCACCAGCGCTTTGGGTCAGCCTGTGTTGGTTGTGCAGCCCCCGACCAATTGACGCATCAAAAAGTTCCGGTTAACATGCGCAATCACATACTGTAACAGCAACGTAACGACAAACAACCCCCCCAAAAAAAAAATAAACACATATTGATGAAAAACACACGATATGAAGAGGCTCTTCAATCCAAATGGGGTGTATTAATATGTATTAGTCACGTGTCTACACTATATGACCAACGTAACAAACCTCAAAAGCTCCTCATCAAGTCAGGTCCCACCTGCATCTGGGTGGCTTCCCTGCTGACTTCGCCACCGCAGCCGCCGTGCCGCGCGGCACGGTGACCTTGGCTCATCGAGCTGGACCAGTCGCCGAAGGCCAATGGCTATGGCTATGGATCAAGGGGGTCCAGTTCGCAGAACATGAACACAATCGACTACCAGGTGGACTATGAACCCATGCTGCCTTTGGAATTCGATGTATGTGCACAAGTAGGGGGAGATAATAAATCATTATAATCCAAATTATAGACATTTCATAATGATAATCCAAATAGTTCCAAAGATAATATAAATATACAACAAAGTTAATACACATTTAATGTATGAAGCGCAGGGTGAGACTGGGACAATGTTCAATACCAAATGTATGAACACCATGGGTACCAGAAATCCATACACCCCGACAAACACGTGGATCAACGGACCCAAGATCAGACCTGTTTGTCTCGATGATGAGCGATGTCAATCAGTCCGAAATGCCATGTCCAGGAGTCCATGTCCTACCGAGTGGCCCAAATGTCATCATCATCGTGGTGCAGTTCCAGCTCAACTCCAGGCGACGTCTCACTCACAGCGCCGTCGTCGCCCACGGCGCCTGGTGGCAGCGGCCTTGTCGGTGACAGCGGCTGTCGGAAGCACAGCACCGCCTGCAAGTGGGTGGGCACATTCACCTGGTGGGGTGACTGATCAATCATTGAATATGCTTAAATTTGATGTCTTTTAGAGACTTATATAAGAAGTGAGCAAACAGACTGAAAAGAAACCACTTCGAGAAACATTTAACTTCGCTACTTGTACTATAAAGTAGAACCAAAACAGTCCACAGAAAACATTTCAATGGGATGCTGCCTATATACAAAACAGTGGCTTATTAATTGCAAACCGACACAAGCAAAGCCAATGTTTTGGATGATTGGTGGTCCAAAATGGAGGTCACTCAAGGACCGACTCAGGCTCCAAATGTATAGTATCTCGGATCTGATTTCGAGAACTCGCATCTGAAGAGGTCCTGGTCCCGCCGTCCCACGGCCGTCATCACCCCACCTGTCGCCAGTGCTCCCGCACCACGACAGTGCCGTGTAGCGACGTCTCGCACGATGGTGCCGAGGGCGCCATAGAAAGCTGCACATCCTCAAAGAGCTGCGCATCAAACCAAAACCTCGGGGCACCGAGGACGACAGTGGCGACAGCGGCGACAGGGCAATGGTGCTCAGAGCTGCCACTGCCTTTGCTGCCTCTTCATATACATCATGCGCATGGGGTTTGCGCTCTGGAGAAATGGTCTCGCAGGCGACGGTCGAATCAAGTGGAGTTCCAAGGTCTCTCCATGAAACAACGACACCGGTGGAGGAAAATCGGAAGAACCTGCACTACCTGAGGTCAAAGCAAGCAAAACAAAGTTATGAGTTTGGCCCTGTAGTCGAGTCTAACCTTCATCCAAAGTCTATGTTAGTTTGTGATTCAGTCCATAGTCTGACTGAAGTGTTTAGACATGAAGGTGGCACCGCCACCCCGGACATCAAAGACCTCCTCTTCATGCTCGGTCCCAGCCGCGCCACTCCATGCGCCACCGTCTCCACACTCATTGGGACCGTGAGGCGCTTCCGGCGTCCGCCGGGCGGTGGAGTGGCGAAGTCAAAGTCGAAGATCTCGCGCTGGTGGTGAGAAGGAAGAGCTACATCATGCTACAGTCTATTTTTACATTGTTGATTGTATCAGGAACATGATAGATCAAAGAGGTTTATAATGGTTTATATATAATATGGTTTATATCTATATACACAAATAATGACTGAACGATAGAGTTCCATCTGCGGGAAGTTGCAAAGGCTGGACTGAAAAAAACTCCACTGCATGAGGGCCACTTCCTTCCTTTTCCAAGACATCAAGACGCCCCTGTTGGATCCAACTTTCAAAAGGTAGTTTGACACAAACAAGCTATACAAGACACGCCCCAAAGCTCCTGTTGGAGCCTTGATATACCTTGTATATTATAGCTTGACACATAGTGTTTTGGAGCCCCAACACACACGCTCCAAAACACGCCCTGTAGATTTCCTGGTCATCGAGGTGCTCGGAGAAAATGGCTGCCCTCATCGCCGTTTTACCCCTGAAGAGAAAAAAAAGGTGCTTTGACCCTTGGACAGACCCTAAGCTCAAAAACTTCTTCAACACCTTTACAAGCCTTTCACCAAAGTTCTACCCTCACATCGAAGTGGTCAACTTCCTGAAGCTTGGTCGGTTGGTCCGCAAAACAGGGACTCACACCATCCAAGTGAAATGAGTCTTCAATTGACGAGACAACGATGGATCATCCCAGGTCATGGATTTTGCGCAGACAATACATCCAGTTGACAGCATGTCATCTTTCGAAATGGAGGTTCATTCCCAGCGTTGGTTTAAGGGGACAACAGAACATCCACAGTTTTGAGGGTGGTTTCATGGTTTCCTGTAGATAATCCCTTAAACACATTGTGGGATTCATACATGACATCTACCATCGTCTATCCCACTGGTGCCACGAGAGGCACCCACATGGCGGAGCCTCGAAGGGCTCCGAGACAAACTCCATGAGGCCTCGCCAGAGTCCGGACACCGAGTTTCTACCAGGTTTGGCTCCTCTTGTTGAGTGATATCTGGATATAACATAAGGCCGAATCAATCCAAGAAGAGCCTCGCGTTTTCACTGTTCCAGCCAAGCGCCTCGTATGCCCCAGGAAAGGCCTTTTAATCACCTGAACATCGGATCGTTAGAAACAGCCTTTCCGATCAATTCCGATGCATACAAACTACAGCTGATTCATTGGGGTGGACATGATGTATCTGTTCAACTAAGGGGTATTATATGTATATAAAAAATACAAATATATATATATATACAAAAAAGCATCGATTGAAACCCAAAAGCAGCTCATTTTTGTCAACTTTGGTCTCCACGGATCTCCCAAATCAGTCATGCTCCATCTTCTGCACATCAGTGGGGAAGCCCTCCCGCTGCTGTGCACAGATTCCTGACCAACGACCGCCCCTCGAAAATACGGGCGGTCAGGGTGGTGTCGTTCGTGTGTGTGTGTGTGTGCGCGTGTATGTGGATGGGTGTGTGTGTGTGTGTGTCTGTGTGTGTCCACCCCTGGAAAAAGGGCTCCTTTCACCTTTTCCA